GTCGAGGGTGAAGTTGAAGAGGTTGGATTTTTGTTTCTTATGATTACGTATTCTGAAAACCGGACTACGCTCTAGTTGCTAGGCGGTACTTTGGCACCCTAATTTTTCTTTTGGCTGTTTTTTGACATAATTTATAAAATTGGTCCTTTCTATTGTCCACATTATTCCTCGATATTGATTTTCGTCAACTTTTGTCCTATAAATTGACATTATTTTCAATTTTGGTCATTTCTTAGATAATAAAACAACAATAGAGGACCAATTTTGAGAACAGTTGACCAAAATTGAGAAAAATATCAAATTTATAGGACCATGTTTGATGAGGGTCAATATCGAGGACCAAGAGTTGAAAGTGAACAATATAGGGGATTGTAGACATGGCCACCGGGTCAACCGGCCCGCCGACCCGGTACGGACCCGGCCCGGTCAAACCCGTTGACCGCGGGTCCAGGCCCGGCTCGGATTACTAACGGGCCGGTCCAGGGGTTTCATTTTGTCGACGCCGACCCGGCGGGCCGGGGCCGGTCCGACACGGAAAAAACATGTTGTTTTTGAATTTTTCTATTTTTTTCTTTTTTTTTTAAATTTTGACGGGCCAAACCCGGGTCGGGCCATGGATCTGGCACAGATTTAGGGCGTACCGGTTCAGGGTCGACTTAACCCAACCCTTCGGCCCGCCATTTGGCCATGTCTAGGGGATTTATTTTGAAAATCTATTAAACGCACACTAAGACTAATCCATGCGCTTGGCCCTTCCCACTTTTTCCTGGATACTCGGGTTCAAATACCCAAGGATTTCCTGTTTGCTTACTGGCTTCTTTACTTTACAGAAACAATATTATCTCCGGTGCCATTATTCCTACTTCTGCAGCTATTGTCATTTCCTACTCCTTCTCCTCCTTAGTTATTTCCTACTCCCCAATTCCTGATGATGAAGAACAAGCAACAAACTTTTGCATCGTTTCAGGCCTGCGGGTGAGGACTGAGGACTGTGTTGGTTGTAAAAGGTGTGAATCTGCCTGCCCAACGGATTAGCAGGATCAGTATAACTGACTCCATCGAGTTCGCCGCCGCAGAACTCAAGAGTTACACCTACTTTCTCAACACTCCAATTAGAAATACCCCTGTTAAAGAAATCCGAGCAAAAATCATTGGCACAAAGAGAATTCCAAAGCTCCTTAGATTTCGGGCAATCTCTAAGGACAAAATCTCTCTTCTGATTCAAAATCGTGGTGTAAGGTGTATCCTACCGACCTCGTAGTTCTGTAACCGTTACAATGGTATTATTGAAACTTGATTGAACATGAATAAGTCCATTTGATTTGTTATTTTGGTTGAATCTCGAAAGAATATGCCTTGAAGAGGACTCGAACCTCCACGCTCTTTAGCACGAGATTTTGAGTTCATTTGTGGCATGCGAGAAGGGCTCGTACAGCTGCAGCAGGTATAATTATGTTGTATTTGACATTTTTCTGTATTTGATGGAGATGTGATACATTATGTCCACCGTGGACCATTTATGAAGTGATTATTATTCTCCTATTGTTTCAATTTTTTAATCCCTTTATTTTGATTTAATCACATACTAGTAATCTCTGGCTGAACTATGCACAATCTGGTAACAACTTAAAGTAAATGATAAGTCAAAAATATCTAGCCTAAAAAGGGTTTATTGCACTAAATCCCCCTGTATTATATGAAATCTGCGCGTTTTTCCCTGGTATTTTAAAAATTACGTCAAATCCCCCTGTATTTAATGTTTCAATGCACACTCGCCTTTGTAATGCTGACGGCGTTACTTTTTGCTGAAATTACTACTATACATACTTTATCCTTGAATTTACCATTATACCCTTATTGTCATATATGGTGACTTAAAAATAAAATCCCAAAGGTGGGGATTGATACTACTATACATATTTTATCCTTGAATTTACCATTATACCCTTATTGTCATATATGGTGACTTAAAAATAAAATCTCAAAGGTGGGGATTGAACCCACTACCTTTGGGTTATAAAAAGCCACCTTCACCAACTGGGCTACTTGGTGTTTTCTTATTAATGTGACTTTGTTTATATATATCATAACATTGAGCGGAACTAATATAATAATTAAGTATATGGATTCTAATTTATAAATAATACAATAATTAAGAATATAGATTCTAAATTAGTATATAGATTATAAATTATAAATAATATAATAATTAAATATTTAGATATAAATAATATTATAATTAAATACTTTTTAGTTATAAATAATATAATAATTAAGTAAAAAGATTTTAAATTACAAATAATATAATAACTAATATAATAATTTGGTATATAGATTCTGTATATAAATAATGTAATGGTTAAATAAACATACTCTAAATTATAAATAATATAGTGAATGAATAAATAGATTCTATATTCTAAACTATAAATGATAAAATAATTAAGAAAATAATTTATAAATTATAAATAATATAATAATTAAGTAAAAATAAACAGACCGAGAGGTTGATAGGACCTTGCAAGAGAACGAAAATCCTAGGAACTTATGGGAGTTAGTTGTTCATCTTGAGACCGAGAGGAGATAGATAACAATTAATATCTACGATTTGACTTGTTCGAGAGAAAGGTTTGAAATCAATTTAGCGATTATCTCTACGATTGGTAAAATTAAATAAGGTTTGTTTGAATATAAACGTTTCATGAATTAATTCCGAGGAACGCTTAGCCTAGAATCTACCTTTTGTTTCTTTATTTATTTTTATTTATTTAGATAAATTAGTTTTTAGTTTAATTCTTAGTTTATATTCATCATTCAATTCACTAGTCTAAATAATATTTAATCGTCGTTATTTTAGTACTTAATTAATTTAACTACAATCTCTGTGGAATACGACCTTGCTCGCCACTACCTATAGCTACGCCGTACACTTGCGGATAGCGAAAATAATTAGCGAACATTTATATATTTTTTAAATATGTAAGAAAATATAAAAACTAAATAAGTGAAATAAAAACAAATCATATATTATATATAGAAGTATCATTTTATTTTATAATAAATAAATTTAATTTAATTTAATTTATTAGTTTATTATAATTAATTTTATTTTATTTTGTTTATATATATTATGTTACTTCATTAATAAAAATATTTATATTTATATTTATTTTTTTATTTTATTTAAACGTATATTATCATTAATTTTTATATTAAATAGTAATATATTCATTTATTATTTTCAAACTTCATATTTAACTTAATTTTTTATTATTTTATTTCAATTAAATTTTATTATAATGATTTAGTTTGTGATTATATTATTTTTTATTTTTGTTTGATTAAGTTTTCCTCTTGTTCCTGTTGCTTTAAATAAATGTGTGTTAATTTTGTACAATATAATGATGGTGGCACAGTGGTTGAAAGCTTGGCTAGTGATGTTTTGACCCAAGTTCGAATCCTATGAGGAGCAGCCAAGCATCAATTTTTGCCCAACATGCAAGGGGCAAAATAGTAAATTTCAATTTTAAAATAGAAAATATATGAAAAAATTGAATAATTGCCGCATTACATGAATGTGTGCTACACGCGCTGTGAAGTTGGACGGAGAGGGGGGACTCGTGCAAAAGTTAGTTAATACGAGGGAGTCTGACGCAATTTTTAAAATACTAGGGAAAAACGTGCAAATTTCATATAATATAGGGGGATTTGGTGCAATAAACCCAGCCTAAAAATGATAATGTCTAAACCTGCCCAGTTAAATGATCTAAATTCGATTGAAACACTTATCCAATAGCAGATTGAGTGTATGGTTAACAGATTTAAAGTCGATCGGAACACTTATCATATGGTAGTTGCGTGTATGGAAAATAGTTGGTCGACCCATCTAAGAATTTTTTTATTTTTATTTTTTCTCAAACAATAAATTTCCATAGTACCACTCAAAGATACAATGTTGAGTAATCAAAGGATTACAACGTACACGGGGGAAGATAGCATCTGCCCCTACCAAGACCCAATATGGTCACTCCAAAAATACACTACCTAGATAAAACCATTCACACACAAAAAGAAAACTAATACAAAATATTACTTTATATAAGAAAATTAATTCTATCACACGATAACAATTTAGATAAGAAAATTAGTTCTATCACACAATCATATGTTATGACTTGTTGGTTCTATGTTGTAGTAATTAACTTATTAAAAAATTCATTTTTATGTTTATTTAAATGATATTCATTACTTGTAAAACTTGTTCATTTCGTATTATGATAAATTTTTAACTCACATCATATAATAGATTTGGTAAATAAATTTATTTAACTGATTAGATCTGATTGAATAATTTAAATAAACTTGTTAGTAATTTTTTTGTTTATAAGGGTGGATACATAAATGTCAAATTGAATATTTTTAAAAGATTGTTAATTTGATATATCATATATTAAACATTGATAATAAACAAAAGACTCAGGGCGCGGAGCCACCCATGAGATAAGGTGGTAACATTATTTTATGAAAAAATATATACATAGCCTCATCTAATTTTTTATTTATTCTCATCTATTTTGGACTGAATATTTCAAGATTCTGATCGAATTTGTTCATCTGGTAAGCAGCAGCTTCATGGCATCAATGGTGAAAAAGTGATGATCGCATGATAATCTTTTATTCTCAAATGACAATTGTGTCCTTACTAGATTTTTAGCAATTGGGCTTATAAATGTGGTCCAACGAACTTTTATCTTCTAAATTCTTAATGTACTGACTTGACAAGTACCAAATCAGTTAGATAATTAAGCTTGACATACACTTCTCCTACGGGCTATTTAATTGGGCTCGTCTCATTCCACAATCCGTTATCCATTTTTGTCATTTTTTTGTTGATCTCGTCTCCAATAATTAATTTGGCCTCATTTCCTAGACAACGAAAAAACTATAACAGAGTTGATTGCAAACATGTTTGACTCTATTTGTTTGATCGACAAGTTCGATTAGCTATTTGAGTTTGACTTGTTTAAATTTATAAGCGAGTCATAATTGTGTTTGCACAAGTCGAACCGAAATATGTTAATAGATAATTCGGCTCTAGTCATGACTGAAATTGTCGTTCAAAATGCATTAAGTATTGAACATGGTAAACCATGAGGATGTTCTTTTGGGTTGGTTCGGGCGAATCAGCAGGATGGCCCAACCTATGACCATGTCTACTCGGTTCCAATAATAGCTACAATATTATGCAGTCTCGGGTTAAATTTTTTTCTTGCTATACAAAAGACTTATTATGTTTTAAGATAATTTATAATGTAAGTTAATTTTTTAATTAAAATTCCTAATACGCGTTGAAACTACACACTACTACGAAAACCAGAATTTGTTACATATTATTTGGTAGTATTAAAAATCGGCATACCATGAAGCATGAGAGATCAGAGATATTAATAGCATTGGAGGAATATATTAATATTCTTTTCCCTCTTAAATGCATCTCATAGTTGACGCACTCGTTTCTCGTTGTTGACGTACTCGTTCGTAGATTCCCCGTAGAATCGACAAGTTGCCACGGGACAACAATTTGACTTGCTCCCTGCAAAGCTGGTCTACAGTTCGAGAACATAAAGAATAAAAACAATAATAATAATAATAATAATAATAATAATAATAATAATAATAATTTAAAAAAAGAAAAAGAAAAAAACTACACTACTTTGAAAGTGAAACTTCTGTTTAGAAGTTGAATTTGATAACAAAACTCCTTATCATCAGTGCATTATAATATTGTTATTGTTATGAATACTCAAGATAACAATGGGCTCATGTAGCTTCTCATCAAATCCAAATTAAATGACGAAATTTTAGTGACCTCGAAAAAGATAAATTAATTTGGCGTACATTGAATTTAATATAAAAACTTGCTATAAAAATATAATTATAAGGGAGGAATAAAATTTATTATTTTTTATTTGGCTTAATTCTAGTGTTATTGGTGTATGTTTTCAATTGCTGGCAAACTAATGGACTCATCATGTCGAGGCAGTTGTACCCACAAAGGTTTACATTAATCGAAATTTTACTATACAATTTTCCGTTCAATCAATAGACATGTCGTTAGATTTGTCTAGTCGAGCAAATCGCACTCTCGAAATTTTATTTTAATCGGAATTCATTTGTCCACTCAACTTTTCATTCAAAATAATTTGAATTTCTGTTTGGGAGCCAAAAAAAGTGATTTTGCCAAAATAACCAAAGCTAGTGTGGGAGGATATATATCTATCTATGTATATAATCTTAATTTGAAAAAGCAATTTTTGTTTAAAGTATTAATTTCGATTTCCATATAGAGTTTATTTTGATGTGGAAAAGAGAGTAAAAATCAATAGATATTCAGATATTCTCGATGTAACAAATCTGATCGAAGCAATTTGGCATATATATACTCAAATCAGTTTTAATTATTAATACTAGTACGTAACCCGTGCGATGCACGGGATGTAAAATTTGGAAGAATAATATAAACTCACGTACGGGATGTAAAATTTGGAAGAATAATATAAACTCACGTGCATTAGGATCGAAATTGAAATCATTAAAATACATAGCAACATTGTTGAATCATAAAAAGTTCGGTAACAATCATATATTATTAAAAACCTCCTTATACACAATATTATGAGTTTGATTATTTGGTAACTCCTCATTATCACAAACTAATATTTTCAAAAGAGACAAATCCTAAAAATCAAACTAATATTTTAGGATTGGTGAACAAACTAATATTTTAGGATTTCTAGGATTTGTCTCTTTTTGGTGAACAAACTAATATTTTAGGATTGGTTATATGAATAAGGCTACCTGTTTTTTGTGTTCTTTTCATTCATGTTCATTCAAACAATCCGATGACTTGTATAATGAAATCCGAATCTTAAGCCAAAATATTTAAAAAAAAAAGTTTTTAAAAATTGAAAAGTCAAGGCAATCAGTTCAGATTAATTAAAGGTCAAAGAATATCTGCTCCTTGAAATAAAGACGTGTGCTATTATTTAACCAAATATTCGGTTATTGATATAGAGTGGTTACTAAAAAATAGAACGCGATAAGGACGCTTCATGGAAATATCAATGAGATAAGGTCATAACATATCGCTATACATTTTAACGATAAAAAGCTCAGATGAAATGATTTATAATAATTATGTCGTAATTAATGAATTTATGAGAAGTGTGAAAAGAACATAATTAATGAGAAGTGTGAAAAAGACATAATTAATGAGAAGTGTGAAAAAGACAAAACTTACCAGTTTTGGAAAATATTTAATGCAAATCCGACATTGACCATAATTTGATCTACTATTTTGGATAAATGTTAATTCTTATTATATAAGTATAGATATGAATTCAACGAACTCAAATCTGTTCTTTCTTATTTAATTATTTTTCTATTTTGATTACCCATTCAATTACATTATTTGGTCCTGACTAGCATTTTGGTCCTTTCGTAAATATGTTAACATTATTTGGTCCTGACTAGCATTTTGGGCCTTTTGTAAATATGTTGAGCATTATTTACATACTTTCACAAATATACATATTTTCATTAAAAAAACATTATACATTAAAAAATAATATGAACAAAAGTATAATACTTGATACTATAAATATACAAATTTATTCAAAAAGTATAATAAACCGACTCGTCTAATTTTTATGCCGTCTTATACAAATAATTTATATATTTATAGTGAGACAGAATGGTGTAGATGATTATTATTATTATTATTATTATTATTTGTATTATTAGCATAGGTATCTTGGAGAATAAGTGGTGTAGATTATAATTATTATAATTATTATAATCTACACCACATACACAACATAAAACTTGCAATCACAACCTATTGATTATTCTACAACACCAATATCAACGATTACACATAATTTATTTACCGCAAAAATAATCAAAAGATTGTAGAGAATATATTATTCCGTAGGCAATAAATAAATGAGAGAGAGGATGAGGAATCATGACTCTTTATGTATGTGTAAAATATTAAATAAAAAAATCCTATACAAACCCTATAAATTATTGCTCACTTGGTCCTCATTACTCACCTCCACAATTCAAGCTGATCATTAAAATTCACCCACACACACACACACAAGAGAAAAAAAAATAAAAAATAAAAAAAAAAAATAACGCACAAACACTTATTGTTGCCATTAATGGAGAAAGACACAAAATCAAGGTTTAAAAGGATTTGTGTTTTCTGTGGTAGCAGTTCAGGCAAGAAGCCAAGCTATCAACANGCTCACTTGGTCCTCATTACTCACCTCCACAATTCAAGCTGATCATTAAAATTCACCCACACACACACACACAAGAGAAAAAAAAATAAAAAATAAAAAAAAAAAATAACGCACAAACACTTATTGTTGCCATTAATGGAGAAAGACACAAAATCAAGGTTTAAAAGGATTTGTGTTTTCTGTGGTAGCAGTTCAGGCAAGAAGCCAAGCTATCAACAAGCTGCTATTGAGCTTGGAAAAACACTGGTAATTAATCATATATTTAGACTTTACTCATTAAAAAAAAAAAAAAATGTTTTTTCTTGGTTAATCTTTAACGCTTTTGTGTACCATTATTATATTTTCATGCGCGTATTGTGACGCTTGTGAATGAAATTTATTATTTATGATGTAATCAATTTGTTAAATAATTAAATGGTACTTAATTTTTTTGTTCTTTTTAATTATAATTTTGGAAGGTTGAGAGAAGAATTGATTTGGTGTATGGAGGTGGAAGCGTGGGTTTAATGGGTCTTGTTTCTCAAGCTGTTCATGATGGCGGCCGACATGTACTAGGGTACGTATATATATATATATATATATATTTATATCACTAACTATCCATACATATTTTATATATAATACATTTTTATATATTTATACCTTGCTTCTTTATTAGTTTTAATAGTTATTTTTAGCCCAATAAAATAACGGCCCAAATTTTTTGGACCAAACATTCGAAATATATCTTTTATAGCCCACTTGACGCGAACATGAATCATGCAATACGATCATGATGCAACCATATATAAATTTTAATAATAAAAAACATGTTTTCATTTTTGTAGTAACACTAGTGAATATCGCTATAATTTTGAGTTTGCTAAAAGAATTAATTTTCTTCTTATTATGTTGCAGGGTTATACCAAGAACTCTTATGCCCCGAGAGGTAGGAAAAATAGAAACTCTAATTTAATTTTCATTAGCCAAATGCACTTTAATTAAACATTATCTAAGGTTTAATTAATTATATAGCTGATCAATATGATTAAAACATTATTACAGATAACAGGCGAAACTATAGGAGAATTACGGGCTGTATCTGATATGCACCAAAGAAAAGCAGAGATGGCCCGTCAAGCCGATGCCTTTATTGCCCTTCCAGGTATATAGTTAATGTATTTACATAAATATACATCATATAATATTTTTAAATTGAAAATAAATCTCAAACTATATAAATTAGATGTTGATTATGNGAATCCACCGTAAACCAGTACGTAACAATATTAATAAATAATAATTTAATCTCTCTTAATTTATTAATTTAATTGTACTGTCTAATTTTTTTTTTTTTAGGAATGTTAGTCGAGTCAAGCCAAACGATACAAATTGACTCGGCTCAGTTCATTTATAATAAACTAAAAATTATAGTCGTTTGGAATTTGTGTGAAAAGAATAGATAAAAAACAGCTCACCTCTAATTACAATTAGGTACTGATTAATTGTGTTGATTTTTTTTAGTGTGTGTTCTATTCAAAATTTTAGTTAGAACAGGGAAGGAATCAGGTCAACCGAGCTAATTTTTCTTCAGATTACATTATTAACCGGTAATCGTGTCTAAGAACACTTAACAGGTTACCGTTACAATAATTAAAATGCTACTTTAATTCGAAGTTTTTTTTAATTAAAAAAAAATTAAAAAATATGTCCACTAATCCGCCTACAAATGCGAGAATTGAAAACGTCTTGTTCATATTGACATTCTATGCTGTCATGTCCCATTCTTCAAATGTTGTATTTCCATTATCTTTCCATTTTTTATATACCTTATGAAAGCAATAATTGGTCACATAAAAAGTCTTCTAGGCTGTATAACTGTTAGACGGGTCTACTTGCTATACCTTTATAACAAAATTACATAGTTATATTAGTGAATATCACTTTTGATTATCTAAAAATATGTGTATTTTGAAAAAGAATATGATCATCTAATCGCTATATTGGTCAATAGAACTCCTCATAAAAGAATTTAAAGATATAAAAAATAATAATAATAATAATAAAAAATAAAATTTAGCAAATGGCATCTATTCCACAGTTTGTGTGAACTTTAAAATGTCCTTAGTTCACATGGAAAATTTAGTACATAGTAGAATTTGGAGTGATGTAATCAAATTTCTAAATAAAAAGGGTTTACATTGATGAGTANAAAAAGTAGCCTTTGGAAGAAAAACATAAACACATGTTAGTCAGATACATATTGCACTTTTGTATTGTTTATTACGAGCTGGTTTAAGCTTAAACCAATATTTTATCTAATTGCTAATCATATCAACAAAAATAACTAATTGCAGGTTGGACTGTTGAATGTTGAAGGTTACTACAACTCTTTGTTGTCCTTCCTTGATAAGGCCGTTGATGAAGGCTTTATTTCCCCAATTGCACGTCGCATAATCGTGTCCGCCCCAACACCACAACAATTGGTCACACAGCTTGAGGTGATTAGCATTAATTGATTATGTTAATTAACTAAATGACGTAAAGTTAGAACGAGAAAAACCGTAAGCATGACATAATAAGAAAAGGATCTTGTGATAAGATTAATTAATAATTAGATCTAATAGTTTATTAGGAATTTAGATTTTCGTGCATGCCAGTCTATAATTAGTGAAAACGGTAGTTCTTTAGATATAGTGGCTAAGGGTTAGACGTCATATTATTTCAACATATGTGCATATTTTAATATTCGAATGTCATACATTATAGTATAAGTATATAATTTTTGTAATAAAAATATAACTGTTAGACTGGATAACAAAAATTTGTGATTTAAAAAAAAATGTTGATGTTAGATTGGCTAGTGGTAAGACGCTCGTGCTTTTTCAATATATTTACGTACTTTAGTACTTAAATGTCATATTTTGAAAATCGAACATAAAAGAAGACATTGCATAGTATCATTGTACATTTTCTTAAGAAAGTATAATTGATGAATGAATGAATTTGTTAGTTTTGAAAGAAATTAAGATTTTTTTTTTGTTTTTTGTTTTTTTTTTTCTTTTGATTGGGATAGTTATTTGAATCAAGGGTTTGTGNAAAACATGAGAGATTTTTTAATCTGAAGTATATACGCCACTAGTTTGTCATAGGATTTAATCACCATGAGCAGAGGATCCCTGTTTTGGTATATTTTGAAACATTTTGGTCTCTTTTTGCCGTTATTATAATTCTATTAATGATGATCAAACTTTTTTGTGTTACATGTCTTAGAAGAATTAAAATGAATATGTGTATACATATATTGACCCGAGAAACATATTTTTGTTTTTATTCTTCTTTTTAGTTATGCTACACTCAGATATTTCGTTATAGTTAGAATATATGTTGCTGTCTGGGCATTTTGCTATAAGTTTTGTGGGACTTCGGTGTATCTAACATGTCACTTAATTAATTTTCTTCAAATTCACACTATATATTTATATGCTGTTTTATGACTATTAGTTCATATCAAAACAAAAATCAAGAAAGTCATGTGTTTACTGAATTATGTGCAACACAAAAACCTCCTATTAAGCAAATATTGCACACCAGCGATACCGAATTCAAGTTTCATACTGAAAGGGTTATTTTTTAGCATGAGTTCAAAAATAAATATATTGAAGATATGTTCCTATAAGCGCAAGAAATCTATAAAAGGGAAGTTCTTTTATTTATTTATTTATATATGCGAGTTTCCTACTTATTAGATATTAGATTGCATGATTTTATTATGGTTGTGTTTTGTAGGAAATCGGCATACATAGCAGATTGAGGAATAGATGCGCACGGGTCAAAGAAGGAGATTCAAAGACGATTTACTTTCCAAGTTACTATACTATTTTTGGGAACAAGATCAAAGGAGATCGTGAAAGAAGGAAAGAACTTGGAGAAGATTCCAAGCCTAAGGAGTTGTATATACCCTACTTGAAGAACAATTGAAGGCTTCTGAACTTTCATACATTCTCCGCAATCAAGCTTCAATTGTGATTCCAAGTCTTTTGCTATTTTTCGTTTTTGTTCACAGTTCAGTGCTCTGATGTTCTTACAGCGTCTGAACACTAAAGTTGTTTTATGTTAGTTTTTGTCTTATTTCTTTGAAATACCTTTTGATCTGAACCAAGTTTTACTCAAGGGATCGAGAGTAGTTATAAGTCCACGGAACGTGGCCAGAGAAGTAGTTGGTAGATTCGAACGTAGTTGAGGCTAAGCTAGAAGGGAGTTCTAGTTTTCATAAGTTCAAAACTATATACGTGTGCACAATCAAGTTATCAATGAAAGAGCTCTGAGAGGAAGTGGGACGCTCCCCCGAAGAGTTTTTATATTTGCTGTGCTTCCGCTATTTCTACTATTCTTGTGTGGTTTCGTAAATTGTCGTGTTCCTACACAAGTTGCGTACTCTAAAACTCTAATAGTATACATTTCACATACAAAAAACAATATATAAACCTATCAATAGACCGTAGGCCATTAGACCATTAGACCAGTAGACCATTGGACCAGTAGGCCGTTAGACCAGTAGGCCATTAGACCGGTAGGTCATTGGACCAATAGACCGTTAGGCTTGCTTGGCCTCAATCTCATGGGTCTTTGTCCGGTTAGACCGAGTCGGTGTTATAATTCCTATCAATATTTGACCTTCTCTTTTTTCCTATGTGTTTGCAGTCAGTTTCTAAATATAATTTTTTTTAATATAAATGGCATGTGAAGAACAAACATAATAAATTAGTACAATACCCGTGTATTACACGGGTATTTGTTATTAAAAAATATTTTTAAGATTAAATAATTATAACGACAACAATTGTTTAAAATTAAATAAATGAATTTATTAGACAAATTTGAGGTTTTTCATGAAAATTAATAAGTCATAATACTCGTACTAAACTATTAGAAATTGTGGGTATTTTATATTAAAAATAATACAATTTTATGACTTTAATAACAATAATGAATAAATCTTTCATATTTATAATAGAGAGTTTTACGTGTCTAAATATCAATTTGTGGTGTTTGATATTGATATGTCTATCAATATATGATACTTGTGCATAATTTCATGTAGATCTGAATATTTGTCCATATACATTAATACTTTTAAAATTATAGCACGCTTGTATAACTAAAATAACAAATATATTTTTAAATCTAATAAATTTAGTATTCGTTTTTCATATATACTTCTGAATGATTTTTCCAAATTACTCAATAAAATTTGTATAATTCGCCTTTGATTTGGGAGCTTTCTTATGAGAATGAGTCAATGAGATGGAAAAAATCATCGCTTCTATATCACAATCCTAATTTCTTATAAACAATCATAGTTTTCATATTAGTTTAGGAGATATTCAACATTCATACCGAAAATATATGATGATGATTGATGAATCTAACTCGGTATAATTCTTGAGTAATATCATCCAACGTTTTTTTTAAATAACTTTATTCCTCTGCATCAAATTTACAAAAACATTAAAAAGTAAAAAGAAGAAGAACTCATCAACTGCATCTAAATAAATATCAACTCATAATCTTTAAATTAATATTTTTAACTATTAATTCATATTAATTTGATCAATATAACTAAAAATATAATATCTTATAATGTGTACATTTTTTAATGGAACTATACCAATACCAAAAAACGACTTCCACTTAAGTGGTCACTGGTCAGTGATGATTAAAAACTCACGAACATTATACGTCATCTAATTGAAAAAGGAATTTTCATGCAGTCTTATTGTCATACTTCATTATTATAATTAATAACGATAAATAATAAATCACTTTTATTTTATTTTATTTTATTTTATTTTTTGGTGTGTGGTCGGTGAAAATTGAGGTCACTATGTTACAATGTCTCTTGGTCTTGGAACTTGGAAGTGAACATGTGAACCACAACATGTTGTTCAGTTGTTTCATTTACTATATATATACTATCTTGTGATCCATATTTGTCATTGTCAAACTCCATTAAGCTTCTTAAAGACCTCAATTATTTCATATAAAATAGTTTATCCAATTCAAAATAAAAATTAGTGCCAGGATTAAAATAATCGAGATGACATAATCCAACCCTTATTAGCGTGTGTTTTGAATTATGCATACAACTTGTTGAAAACAATCTTAGTGATGATTTTGGGCTCACTATTTCTGTGCCGATGGTGTCTGATAAATAATTAAAAAATAAGATAGCCCGAAATCTTTTAAATCTAATTGCACTGTGTGGTACCAACTGCAATTAATGTAATTGTAGAGATTAAATTAAATTTTGGAATCATAATAAATATGAACATGTTTACCATTTTTAAGTCATAGTATTTCTACAGATAATATAAAACTAGTACAACCACGGTGATTGCACGGGTACTAGTTAAAAAGTTTATGCTGAAAATTTTAAAATGAAATGTAGGAGAGAAGTTTTTCATTTAAATTTAAATACTATTTAAAAATTTGTTTTACTATTTATATTTAAAATGATATTTTTTTCTTATACAATTTACCCGATTTATAATTCATATGTAATGAATTTATATATGACTCTTCGAATTGATGATATATAGTTTAATTATTTTTTAATTAGTACTAATAGATGATTTAATTTTATAATAAAAAAATTATTTATCTATTTTATATATTGTAAGATTTATAGAATCGGGCAAGAGGGTGTGGTCCCACGCAAATTAAGCGCATTATAAGAGGGTGGGCCTATGTGCACCATAGTGAAGTTACATCTCAAAATCAATTGGTGATTGGAGGAGTAACTCACTAGGTATATAAGTTATGTCCAATTTCTTTAGAGCATCTCCAATGTGACTTTTGATATTATAAAACATCATCCATATCATCAACTTTTGAAAGTGTCTTACTAATTTTATTCTCCAATGCATCTTGTCATGAATTCTTTCATGACAAGGTGGACGGCATTTAATGTAAACAATGTTGAGCCCACTTTCTAATATCTAACACTATGTTAAACATGATGACTCATCAATTCACTTTAATTTTGATTTAATTTTTTATTATTCTTGTATCAATGAATTATTTTAATTGGTCCACCTATACAAATAACTTATTTATCAAATTCATGCATTCGAGATACTAGTTTGATAGAAATTTTCAATCTTTTAACATTATTCCTATGTGGATTAACATTACAATCACTGATTGACATATGTTAAAAATCATTGTCTTTCAAAGCTATAGCATTGGAGATGCTCATCAATGTGAGACAACTCACAAGTGATACTCCAACATATATGCAATATGAATATAGAATCGAAGATCATCACAAAAGATGATTAATTTTATATATTATATACAAAAATATGATGACAAATACAAGAGTTAACTTTTAAATATATTTATAATTTAAGTTACTCAAGTGTTTTATAATGTTTAAATTCCTATAGGCATATAATTGAAGTTCAAATCTACTTGTACTACTTCAAACCAAACAAATAAGATTACGAAACAACAAAATTCGACTCATAGATTACAAAACATTAAAAATCAATACGGAACATTTTGCATTAATATATAGGTAGGGATGGTATTGCATGTATATATCTATTTTATATAAAAAAAGTTGAGAAAATAAATACAAATATTTCACCCATACGCACGCGAGAATATGTAGAATAACATTCCGTTCATAAAAATAAAATAAATAAATAAATAAATAAATAAAAAATCACATTGCCTTTTTATTGGCAAATTTACGGACACAGGAATCAACTTCACATAACAATTATTTACATTAATATATATGGTGTATGTAGTAAGTCCACAACACTGTGCCTTAGCAGTGTTTCATAAAAAAGTTCAAATTCTGATGTAGTTGGTCATAAGATCCACTTAAACTGTGACAAACCTAGCTGATAAGTTAATTAATAGCTGATAAGTTGGCTAATAATTTATAAGTTAATTTAGAGATTATAGTAAAAATGAAAATAAAATTAAAAAAAAAAAATCGAGCTTATAGCTGATAGCCTATGATTTAGGGCTGAAATTAGTTGTTTGGTAAAATTAGTTGACAAACTAGTTGAAACAAATTTTCAACGGACTTATTGAAAAGTTGTCAAAAGAAACTTATGGGATAAGCTTGAACTAAAACTTCGTCCTAGCAAATCAAACTTATTGGAATATAAAAAACTTATATAAGCTAACCAAATAAGCTATAAGTTAGTTGATAATATTTACCAAACACACTATTAGAAGATGGAAGATAGGATCTATTTCTTTATTTTTTTTATTTTTTTTTTTTTCAAAAAGGCTAAACCATATGTAACTTTATTGAGTAAAACACTTTCAACATCATTACCCTTTCTGCATTTCGAATGGTTCAAATATATACTGATGGTTAAGGATTAAATATGAGTAGAAATATTAATGAAAAAATTGATAATTGACTAGTGGTGAAATTGTTGAAATTAAAAGGATATCCAAATCCTTCCTAAAATTTAATCAAGTGTGTTAATTTTCCTTTCATCTATTGTACTACATTTTCCTTTCAACTACTGTACTATGTGGTTCAATAAGGCTTGGCTCTCTCTATGATGAATATAGAAAATAATATGCGACGATGAGAAATTCTTGGGCTTGATCCAACATTCGAGAGTCTGTACCTATATAACGGGCCCAATATAAAGACCAACCAAAACATTTTCATAAACAGACCATAAGAAACCATATTTATCTAGGCTAATTTACATATAGAATACTATTTTAGAATTTTTTTTTTGCAAATATATGAACCTTTAAAAAAAATCACTACACATACTTTATTGTGAATTTATGACATATTTTTTAATTTTATGTTTAGTTTAAAGTTTATAACATGTTTATATTATCAGATCTCGTGACATGACTGTAATAAAAGATTTCGTTCACATATCAAGCATAAACTATTATCAAATGTCAAATAAACACTTAAATCTTCGACGACATAAATAAATTAAAATATGTAAAAAAAATTCTCTTAAAAACTAAGACATCATTAACTATATACACAATGTATGTCATTCTGGTGAGCAACGAACACTTGTGCAACACTCAGCATTTTAATGTGCAGTGGCTAAATTCCAAATGGGTATATTTCATGCTTTACAAAAATTACTGAAACTCGCCTTGTATAAAAAACATCATTTAATTAATTAATAATTTCGTATTTATGATTAAAAGTTCATGATTTCGTATTATTAATATTATTTAACAAAGCATTAGTAAAGGGGAAAACTTCTCTCGTCCCAAACCGCATAGCGGGCTCGCTCGAAACAATTAAATTTAGCCCGTTTAACATCACTGATTATCTTTCATTTCATAAAGAAGTTGCCTATTTGTGCTAACTATTGGCTTCACCGAGGGTAAAATGATGATGGTAATCACCAAATCACTACTTAATACTCGTCTCGAGTTCCAACCTAATTAGCAAACCATATCAAAAACAAAAAGAAAGAGAAATAAAAAAGAAAAACCAAGATTTTCTATTTAAAAATAAAAAATACACCCAAAATGTTTTTTTTTTTTTTTTTTTTNTTTTTTGCAGATTACGAAATAAAAAAGAGCATAAAATGAGAATGAAACTATATTATTAGATGGAATTTTTTTGTATAAATCGATTAATATCTTGTATAACTTTGTTGGCCATTTCAGAAAAAGGTTGAATGTAGAGAAAACCGTGTTCCTGCCCTTCATACTCAACGTACTCGATTTCTTTTCCCATAGCTTTCAATCTTTTGTAGTAGTCTTCAACTCTGTCCTTCATCACTTCACACCCGCCCACTAGCACCAGTATTGGGTCAAGTTCTACTGATTCCAGATTTGGGCTTGACGGCCCAAATGGATTGGCCCATGGATGGTCTGCATTACTACCAATCGGCAGCGATAGCCTCCAAAATCTGAAGTTTTTTATTCAGGCCCAATTTTATAACGGAAGCCCAGGTTAGAAAGGTAATTAGGATATAACTGTGACTTTCAAATTTCATTAACTTCCGTAGCTTTCTAAATTTGTAGGAAACTGCATCCAACTATCAACCTAACTATGGAGTATTATTTTTTCATGAAAGAATTGAACAACACCACACACACACAGACAATAAAAACAAAGACAAAAAAAAAAGAGAGAGAGATAAAGAAAAAAGGTATAAATATGCTATTATTTCCATGAGAGTTCTATTTAAAGTATAAATTAATACAATCACCTATTATAATTGAAATTATCAAAGTAGTGTAAAATTGAAAATTGTTATTACTATAAATAGAATACATTATAAGAAATAAAACTATTATAATTTTCGCTTGCTCAATAAATATTATTTATTTTTTTATTTAAACGACTTATTCTATCTGTAATTATTTTATTACATGATTTTTAATCAATATAAAAAAGTGGTGTGGTCTAACTTGTATAGTTATAAATTATGTGGATATTATTGAAAAGTTGTAAAAATTGATATAATGATAATATTTTTAGAATATTCTTTTGAGTTTGAGAATGAATTTAATGGTTTGAGATGAGTTACTGACTTACTGCATGAGAGTTAATGCAAAAGAAATTTAAAAATGAGTTTTTCTTGGATTGAAAAAAATAAGCTAATCTTAGGAACATTATGGTTAGTGGACTCGTAAATTAAGGGGAGTGCATTTGGTTGAGATTTTGAATGATATTTTAAAATATTTTAGATTCGAAGCTTTTTAAGATTTTTAGATTTAATAGGAATTATGTGAAATCTGAAGTATGAAGATGAGATTCGGAGTGATATTTCATATATTGTCTTTTATTTTGAAATTCCAGCAAATCTTAAAAATTTTAAATAATTTAAATTAAATAGAACAAAATTTTTAAATTTTTTTTTTTGAAAAAAAAAAAAGATAAAAAAAATTCCAAACGAAGACATCCAAATTAAAAGTTATATATGAAGACTAGTCTAAGCCAATGTTCCAAAAGGTGAAAAGGATGGTTTTTATACTTTTATTATAGCCATTTAGAGGCTGTATATTATAATTATACACACACCCATGCTTGGATCATATATGTCATTAATTCCTTGTCTTATTCCCATTACCTTTTGTCTGTCTCTATCATCATAAATTCAGTCTTATAGAGATCCAAAAAACCCTAATGTAATCAGCACATTTTTTGTTTTATTTTTATTAGTTACAACTTGTATTCCTCATTATTTTTATATTGGTGGGATCGGTCTGCGTTGAGGAATTCACTAACTTCATAAAAAGAAAATTAAGAGTTTTATGTATTTATTAATATTCAATCAACATCTATAAAAGTAAATAAAATATTAAAAATTATATGCATGCATATAGTATTAATATTGCAAGTTAGATATCGGTATCACGTCCTAAACATTTGAACATTATTGAAAAAAAAAGGTAAGAAATAATTTAATTACATATGAATCACTGTTAGTTGTATAAAATATAAACAACTAATGTAATTATATAACTTTAAAGAATCATAACCAATTAAATAGTTAAAAATATTAAACTAGTATTAGAGCAATTGTTTATGCGATTTTAAGTAGTTTGTCTATACCATTAAAAGTTAAAACTAATTGGATATTTATAATAAAATTTACTTAATGAAATGCAAAATAAAATATATTGATTTTACAATAAATAGCTTGAAAAAAATGTTGTTATATTTTTTTGATTTATTTAACTTCCATATACCATTTAGTATGAGCTATAATAACAACTATATGATAGAATAGTTTAAAAAAATATGATTATACTTAATTTATTTAAAATAAACTGCAAAAAATAAATTTTGTACTATATGTGTGTGTATGGAATATTGAAAATCATAAGTTAGATAATGAGCATATCTCATTTTACAAATTTTATCATTAGTGAAAATGAACGATAAGACAAATATAAACTATATATTTAACTTATATATTAATAGGAACAGGCAATTCGGAGCTGAAATTCTAATTACAAAATTAATTTTATTATTATTATTATTATTATTATGATTATTATTATTATTATTATTATTATTATTATTATTATTATTATTTATTTTTATTTTTTGATATTTTTTATTTTTATTTTTAATTTCCCGATTCAGGGCAGAACCGATCCTGAAACGTCGAACCGATTTTGAACTAGGACCACCGGTTCATTTAACAGGCCCTTAGTCTTTTCCGCCGGTTCGCCATAAATGACGAACCTAAATTGTCGGTTTCGTACCGAAATCGGGCCATCCCGGGTTTTGGCTACGTCAACTTGTGTAAGGTTTTCAACTAAAAGTGTTATGTAATGCGTAGTGATATGTAAAAACTTGATTATTAAAAATGTATAATTTATAAATTTTTTTCGTGAATCATGTTTTTTAAATTGTTTGTTAGTATAATGTATTAGTTTAATATGTAACTAGTACGACACCCGTGTACTACACGGGTTGTTTGAAAAAAAAAATATAAAACATAAAATAATAAAAAAAAACACATATTGTTGTATAACTATTTCAACTCTTTAAAATATATTAGAAAGATCATGTAATATTCTATAACTATTTCAATGTATTTTTATATATATTCTAAAAATATTTAAATAATATATTTATGGTTGGATTGAAAAAATATAATATGCAAGTAGCTATATATTTTTTATAAAATTATAGTATTTTTTTAATTTAAAATATATAAAAAAGTTATTGTTTACATTAATTATATAAATAAAATTATATATAAAGCTAAATTTTTTATTTTGGTTTACATATAAGATAAGAATCTTAAGATGTAATGTTGCCAAGTAAGTTTATAAGATAAGAATTTTAAGAATCCTAATATGTAATGTTGTCAAATAAGTTTATAAAATAAGAATTTTAAGAATCCTAAGATGTAAGAATTTGGAGTTGAAGGATTTACACGACATATAAGATCCTATTTATTTGGGAAGTATATAAGATAAAAATCATATTTATTTTGGAGTTGGAGGAATTACAACGGCCTATAAGAATCCTATTTATTTGAGACGTATATAAGATGAGAATCATATTTATTTTGGAGTGTCATATAAGAATCTTATTTATTTGGGAGTTTGAGGGATGCAAAAATCCTATTTATTAAGTATTTTATTTTAAACAATTAGGGAACGTATCCGAACCAAAAGCCGAAGCATGTAATGTTGCCAAGTAAGCTTCCGAAGCGTGCGAGACAACCATTTAGGCTCAGCTGGAGTTGGAGGATTTAGAACGGCATATAAGAATCCTATTTATTTGGGAGTTTGAGGGATGCAAAAATCCTATTTATTAAGTATTTTATTTTAAACAATTAGGGAATGTATCCGAACCAAAAATTGAAGCATGTAATGTTGTCAAGTAAGCTTCCGAAGCGTGCGAGGCAACCATTTAGGCTCAGCACGTTTTCAAATTATATTAAGAGGGGATGTATTGGTAATTAAAAGGTCATAACAAATTGTACGTGGTAATTATAAAAGTATTTAATGAAAAAATAAATATTATACAGAAGACTATTCAAAACATTGATAATAAACATATAATGTTGTGTATAAAAGAAGATTATCATAGATCATATTCATATCCATTCATTTTATTTTTATATGTTATTATATTTATTAGTTTTAATTCTGTATATAATCAATATAACTTGTCCACCTCAAAGTTAACTATTGTTAAAAAATAATATACCAGCCCATACCAATCAAATCTATATCTATATAAAAAGAATAATCATTTACTAAAAATAATAACAAAAAAAATTGAGAACATTTAATGCATACATTATTTGGAAATTTTTTAACTATATGCATTAATTGTTTGCATATACAAATTTTCAAATCAGATATGATAAAGAAAAAGATTCTTTCTTAGAATAATTTTATTATTAACTTCTACAATAAATATATTGATATCCACTACAATAAACTACTATTTGATTTTCCGTGATTCATGTTAATAATATTTTGGTCAACATAAAACAAATTTTAAATCTTAACCATATTATTATTATTTTTCACAAGTATTGACTTTCATCATAAAATATTTATAAAAATTTATAACATATTAAATAATTTTCTTCTTCTAACTAATTAGGCAAAATCAAGTTGATGAATTAAATATTAGTCGATACTATTTTTAACCTTTATCTAATTATCTAAAAAATAATAATTTTTTAAATTAACATAATTTACCATTTAAGAGATAATGATCACATCATTAAATAATTTTACTAATAGCTAGATAATAAAATAAAATATATTAATTATTCTTTAAAATTTTAACATGTGATTTATTTGTATATTATTGTCAACCATGATATTTTATTTTATCAATTTTTTTTGTTTTTTTGATGTGTTTCTATAATGGATTTATTCTAAAATATATTTCTATTGCATATTATGTTAGATAAACTATAAAGCCTTAGGATGAAAATTAGAAAAATCTCTTGATTATGTAAAGGATTTATTTGTTTGCAATTGCTAACTCAATATTTTTTAATTATTATGAGAAAACTGAATTCTAAAAAACATGTGTGTGCATTTTGTAAACATTAAACACAAAATTTTATTTTAAATTTCATTATATAAATTAATAAGAAAAAAACTCCTTTTATAACTTTTATAAATAATAATAATAATAATAATGACATTATATGACAACAAATTTTATTATAAAATAATAATTTAGTATTATATGGTGAACAAGAGTAAGTAAAATTTTTATTTTTTTCGTATATTAATGATTTAATATATATTTTAAAATGAAATGTATATTAGTATAACGTGTTAGCGGAATAATATAACTAACATGTTAACTTTTTGGCTAAAATAAACATCACTTATTAAAATAGGTGGAAAATAGATGATCCAACTTATTATTTTTTTACCTAAACATACAAGTCCTATGAAAATGACTCATTTAATATATGTCTCTCTAGTTCTTATCAATTATACCTACTTATATAATGGCGGAGGCTTATAGGGACCAGTGTGGACCTAAGCTCACACTGAGAAAAACAAAAATAAGACATATATATAGCCATGTAATATTGCCCATAGATATAAAAAAATCTAAATACAAGCCTAAATAATCAAGACTAATATAAATAAAGGCTATAAATAAATTAGCTAATGGTTGTTTAATAGGGCTGGCAACAAGAAATTCACGCAAGAACAGGGGCAAATAAAAAGAGAAAAAAAAAAGGAAAATGGGAGGAGAAAGAGAGAAAAGAGTAAAAACAAAAGTTATCAATTTTTGTTTAATTTGTTCGAGAAGACGACTTACGAGGTAACGAAATCCCTTTATGTTTATTTCGGTGGAGATAAAATTATTCTTCTTTATTTTTTAGATAGTGGCAAATATATTCTTTTTATGTATAAAATTGCAAATTAAATCTCTAAAGTACTTATAGCTCTTTAAAGAGTGATATTTTTGTTGAGATCGAAAATTTCATTGATTGTAATTTATAATATTATTTTTTGTATATCAGATGTGGAAAGATATTTTCAAAAAGAGCTCCGTCAGCAAAGTGTTTGTGAAAACGTCTCAAAATGAGATTTTTTAATCCAAATGGATTTGAGGGAAATTCTGGTGTCACTGGACAGAAAGAAATACAACCGGAAGTTTAATGGTTTTCAAACTTTGGCATTAGTTTTACCGGTTGCAACAACTAGCGTGAAACGTATATTTTCTGCAGTGATTTCTATTAAGGATAGATTGAGCAATTGAATGAGTGATGATTGGTTAAATGATAGACTACTAGTTTTGTAGAAAATGAAATGATGTTATTATCGAGCGATATCAGGTTATGAAAACTCGTAAAGAACGACTATGAATGTATATTTTTCTATTTGCACTTTTCGTTATGATATCTTATATTTTGTTCATTAAATAATTAAGCCCTCTCTCGTTATATTAGCTAGATCCGCCCCTGAATGTTAGGCACATTATACACACGCACATGCCTGATTAACGAGAACTAAATCAGTTCCCAAGAAAGGCGGGAAAACAATGTCCCTTGGCCACACGTAAATTCAATTTCCAAGTAGAAAAAAAAAAAGCAAATTATAAATAAAAATAATACTCCCTCCTATTTTTATTATTTGTCATTCTAACTTAATTGATCATTTGTTAAATAAATGTCATTTTGACTACTTTGTACATATATTTCCATTATTATTCTCATCTAACTAATAAATACACTACGTCTTTTCATATTCACTCTCCATCTTTTCTCAAAACATCCATCTCTATTCTCATTATTAAGGGTTATTATTGGCAAAAAAAATATTTTTAATTACTGTGCAACTTCTCAAAACGACATTTAATAAAAATAGGAGGGAGTAAGAAAATAATTTTCCGAGTTACCTATCCAGCATGTCCAGACTCAGTATCTTTTCCGGCGGCCCCTCGGCTTCCGACTTTGTCCTTGTTGTCCCGCCGAAAAACGGCGCCATCAGCACGTACCCCCTCACCGACATCGGCTCCATCCCCGGCGACCCCCGCCGGAGCTCCACCGCCAGCTGATGTGCCAGGTTCCCGCCGGAGGAGTCCCCCACCACGAACACCCTCCCGAAGTCCACCTCCCCCGGCCGCAGCCACCCGCCGTCGGCCCCCACCGCCTGCTCCCTCAGCCACACCACGGACCTCCGGGCGTCCTCCACGGCGGCCGGGAGTCTGTTCTCCGGCGCGAGGCGGTAGTCCGGCGACACCACCACTGCCCCCAGCCCCGACGCCAGCTGGAGGCAGCTTTTGTGGGCGTCCGGCCAAGTCCGGTCGCCGAGGCAGAATCCGCCGCCGCGGAAGAATAAGATGACTGGGAGGGAGGCCGGCGGCGGCGAGCGGGGCTTGTAGATGCGGAGGCAGAGGCCGTGCTCTTCGTCGTACGGGAGGTCCGTCCAGACGACGGCGCCGTCGTCCTGGACCTCGATGGAAAAGTTAATGTTTTCGCGCCGCCGGAAAATGGAGCCGTCGCTGAAGAGCTGGAGGAAGCCCCAGATATCTTCCACCACATGAGGATGAGAGCCCATTGCTTTCTCTTTCTTTCTCAAAATATTTTGTTTTCTCTCTCTACAAAGGTTGGGACTTGGGAGTGATTTGATCAAAGGAAACAAAATGTAGCCATATAAATAGGCTGTGGATAAGTGGAAAACTGGAAACTAAATGAAGGGGGCCGAAAATGCAGTGGATAGTGCGGCAACATTTTGGGAATTACAATATTAGTTTAAAAGAAACAAAAATTTCATAAAAAAAAACAAAAACAAAAAAATGCCATCATGCATCGGTATCTTCCCATGTCACGGACGCACTTTTTCTAGTGCAAATTGAAATTTTAATTTCGTTTGACTTTAGATGTCATTTTCGTTGATCTTTCGAGGGTCATGTGTTTTGTCTTGTCATGAAAACTTTGGCAATAAGGCAAATTCGACTATAACCTTTGATATATAGTACCTAACATAAAAAGGGTCTCGACGGGCTAGATGAGACCTGCAAAAATTCAACATTGGAGGGTTATTGAGTGAAGAATTTCTAATGCTTAAGTTAGTGAGATATATGAGATGATGAATAATATGTAAGTGTAGAGCAAGTGTAATGTTCTAAAGGGCATATCTCATTTTCTTTTATAGAGAGATGTTACCTTGTTGTTCAAGATTGTCCGAGAGAGTTGCTCGGGCTGCTTGAACCGCCCGTCCGTACTTCCCGAACTGCCCAATTCTGTTAGGCCACGTGTGGTCCTTATTCTGTTAATATTTCTTCTTATATATATCCATTAGTCTGTCTTATTAGACTGTCTAATCGTGCGATTGTCCCGAATCACATCGAGGTAGAATACTATGTAAATTGAGCTCACGTATCGTCTTTCTGGTCGATCATACGACAAGTCATACTTTCAGGTCGAGTTTTCCCCAGGCCGTCCAAGGGCCCTGACTCGACCTAATCCATGTCTGTTTGAACCTCTAAGGTCCTTCTCGATTTGAGTCAAACATTTGTCTCTTGTCAGATTCAAGCAGTCATATCGCTTGGTCTACGTCATCGCTCGTAATTCGCACTAGTCTCGTACAACGTACCTATTAAATACTCCTTTAATGAGGACCCTCCGATGTCCGATATACCTTTAATCTAACTGTTTGGAAACTGATGTCTTTCCAACTTGTCTGCTTGATCTTAGCCGTTGATTTCGGCCACGATGCAACGACTCGATGCGACATGTCTTTTCAACTTCAGTCGTTGATTTCGGCTACAATCCAATGGCATCGCTCGAACTGCCTTTCCAGCTCACCAGTTTGATGTTGATATCGACCTTGATCGAATGGCCAAGGTCGATCGGCCTACACGTCCTACCACCTATAAACACCTTTTTGCTGATATTTTTTAGTTTTCCACCTTTTCGAATTGCGCCTTAGCCTATTTGTGCTCTCTTTTTTTTCCTTCTGCAAATAAAATCCCTATCTTCATCGCGTCTCGCCGTGTTCTGCCGCAATCCACCATTCATCTACACATTCTTAGCATTCTATACTTATATACACTATATACATCTTCACCTTCAAATACTGACTTGAGTATCAGTACTTCTACGCCAGGATAACCTTCAACGCTGTTTTGCAAGTCATTTCATCAATTCAAGAATGGATCGGAGAACGTCAAACCAAATCGATGTCGTTTACCCTACCAAACCTGATTATATATATATGTAGCACTGTTCTAAAAATCGCCCTAGGGGGCGTCTAGGCGCTAGGCGGTGCCCGGGCACCTCCGATTTACATAAATCGGCAGAAAAAATCGGTCAGGCGGCTAGGCGGCACCTAGGCGGCCCTAGGCGCTCCTAGCCGGGCTCAGCGGTTAGGCGACGTTTAGGCGGGCATAGGCGGGCTCGGCGGCAATTTTTCAATTTTTTTTTTTTACTTTTAAATACTAATTACATTATTTTGTTCTCATATTTTCTTTAATATGTATTAATATTATTATTTAGACTTTAGTGTGTGAATTTATTATAAATTGAGATAGTTTATTTTGTTGGTAATTATAATAAATAAAAAAATAAGGTACTTAATATTAATTTCTGGGCCCCGACTAAGCGCTCTAGGCGCTAAACGCTGGCCAAACATCTAGCGGGCGCCTAGCGACTTTTAGAACACTGATATATAGCTAGTGGGATGAATTTGCATGTATATGAAACCTGATTTGTAATAAAACCACATGGCTTGCCACATTTGGCGTTCCCATCCTAACCATCACCATNTGTCTTATTCAAAAAGGCTAAATTAACTCCTAAGAATAAGATCTATTTTTAAACGACGTGCTTGAAATATAATTAGTCCGAACTTTAGGCATTAATTGATCGTTTGAACTTTAATAAAACCACATGGCTTGCCACATTTGGCGTTCCAATCCTAACCATCACCATTTTGTTACTTAGTATATTCACATTGATAAAAAGTAATATAGCTTCAGATCGGTTTAGTGATTTACTCAATGAAGGGAAGCAGCTCGGTTCAAGTTACAAATCGGATGCTAGCAAGTTGGATTAAATCATAGCAATTAGCAACTATATTAATTTGGTACCATTATCTATATACTGTTAGATATAGGGTATAAAATTATACATGGGAATCCTACGAACTGATATGTATTTTTCAGTTCTTACAAATAATCTAAAAATAGAAAATTACAATTGAACTGAAAAAATAAATTACAACTCAAAATAAATTAAAAAAAATAACAAGGAAAGATTAAAGCCGAGGCGAGCACAACTCTTTCCGCAAGAAGAATACGTCCGGTGTGGCTGCTAACGGTTCAGACGTAACTTCCCCAAAGATACAACGGTAAACGTCTCTAAATCTGTAGCACACCAGATTTACGAGCTCCGGCGAACTAGAACGGAGACGAGAATTGAGCACTAAAAAATAGGAACAAAAATATATTAGTAATATTTTGATCCCTCAAATATTATTCTTTCTTTCCTTAATATCCGTGTGATTTTCTTGTCACCTCTCTGCAGAGTGTTATTTCATCTATTTATAGATTAATTTTCCAGCTTACTGAATACTTCTCCACTTCTCCACGCGTAGGAAATTATATGGGTAGTTTATTTATTTAAAAAAAATAAGTGGAGAAAAAATAAAAAGGACGTATTTCCCGAATCCCTTTTTGTAATAACATTTTATTAGAAAAACGGATTTTCATTATACGTGTTATATTTAATGTTGAATAATTTAAAAAATATTTATTTCCTTTTAAAAAGAGAAGAATGGAATAAAAATTAATAATTATAAAACGGATTTAACAAATCCGTTTTTCAAAACCCCAAAATCAATCAATTTAGGGTTTTGATGAAAAACGGATTTAATAAATTCGTTGTATAAACCCATAAATTGATTGATTTTTGGGGTTTTGAAAAACCGATTTATTAAATACGTTTTTAATTCATAAAATTTAAATTTAAAAAAAATATTTTAAACCGTATAATATAATTACGTTTTTAATTAACTAAAAAAATATTGAAAAACGTATAATTATTATACGTTTTTAAATGAAATTTTCTAAAAAAACAAATAAATAAAAACGTATTTCATAAATACGTTTTATAAATAAATAGCTATAAAACGTATTCTATGAATACGTTTAACAATTGAAATAAAATCACAAATCTTCTTCTTCTTCCCCATTTCATTCACGCGACTAAAACCATTTTCTCCCCAAAAATTGCGAGAGCTTATTGGAAAAAAAAAAAAAAATGATTTAATCGCCACTCCGACGTGAATCGACAACAACAACACGAACCTCATTTCCGGTTAAGTCATCCGCACGAGGTATATTGGCTTATCTCAACTTTTGACATTGTTTGGAGTTGTTTGAAAATTAGTAATTGTTATAATATATTTGAATGTGGTGGTGTTTGAAGATTGTGGATTGTTAATTGTTTATCGATTATGTGTGTATGTTGAATTGGAGATTAGAATTTTGTTCTAAATTGTCAATTGTGTATCAGTTGGTTGTTGTTGGGCTTAGGATTTTCTGAAATTAGGGTTAGAATTAGAATTAGGGCTTCCAATTTATTCGAAATATAGGTAAAATGTATGTTATTGTTGGATTATGGGTATTAGGGTTTTGGAGGATTAATCGATTGGGAATATTTTTTCTGGTTTTTTCGTTAGAGTAAAAAGATGGGTTTAAAGAATAATTTAATTTTTTGGGTGTTGGATTACACATTATGTGTTCTTGTAATTGGGAAGAATTGAAAGTTTTTGTTTGCAACAGGTATAAATGACGTATTGTGGTCCGTATTTTGTTAATTTGTATTGGCGATTTGCGAGGAAACAGTTAAGAGATTTTGTTTCATTTATGGATAGTCCGGATGGTTCATTTGTTATTACGGGGAGGATATCATATGAACAATTGGTACAGATGATTAATGAAAATTGTCGGTTTGGAGAAGGTTGGACAATTCAAGCGATTACTTTAATGTTTCGTCAACGCGATGGTTCGTGGACTGCCAGAAGACTCGATAACGATAGTGCTCTTGAGTGGATTTATTTATCTCCTCCTATGTCCGTTGTGTACGTTGGAGGCAATTACACCGGTCACACAATTTGAGGATTTTACTCCTTATTATGGGGGAATGGATGAGGGCACGTAGACTTCTCATCTACGTAATTTTGGATAAGGGACAAGCTCACCAATTAGAGAAAGGGCAAATGAGGACGGGGAAGAAAGTGACGAAGAGTTCGCACTCGGTGAAGATGATTTCACAGACGAGACCTCAGAAACCGAATCAGATAGATCGGTGAATGAGGAGAATGAAGCCGAGTTCATTGAAGAAGAATTTCCCTTTCCTAGTGGTGGTCGGCACGTATACCGCGAGATGGGTGAATGGGACCCGTCCAGGATAGATGAGGACAAGTATGCTATTCCACGCTGGAATGACAACATTGAGACCATATGTTTGGGTATAGTTTTTCGGAGCAAGCAAGAAGCCCAAATGGCTTTAATGGGTTGGAACGTCGATAGATTGCGGGAGATTCGGGTAAAT